CACACGAGAGAGAGAGAGAGAGAGAGAGAGAGAGAGAGAGAGAGAGAGAGAGAGAGTGTATTTCTTGTTTATTTATTGTGTGAGAGTGTGCCATACAGTTGGTGTAGAGGTCAGAGGTCAACCTGCAGAAGTCAGTTCTCTCCTTTTACCACGTGGGTTCCGGGAGGCTCCAAATCAGGTCATCAGCCTTAGTGGCAAGCACCCAATGAGCATGCCACAGACCCCCCAAATGGGAGTTTTGTAAAGTAAGAAAGCAGAGCAAGTAAAGGGGAGCAGCCTGAGAAGAAAACAGAAGCATCTGATGATCTTTTTTTTTTTTTTTTGTTTTTCGAGACAGGGTTTCTCTTCGTAGCTTTGCGCCTTTCCTGGAACTCACTTGGTAGCCCAGGCTGGCCTCGAACTCACAGAGATCTGCCTGGCTCTGCTTCCCGAGTGCTAGGATTAAAGACATGCGCCACCACCACCCAGCTGAATCCATGGAATCTTAAAAAACAAAACAAAACAGAAAACTGACTTATTTTTATCTTACTTTGGAGAGTAGGGGAGAAGAGGGCATCAGGTTCCTTGGAACTGGGGCTATGGATGTTTGTAAGCCACCGTCTGGGGAACGGACCTGTATCCTATGCTAGAATAAATTCTCTTCAACACTGAGAATAAGTTCTCTTCATCTCTGACCTTGAACCCACCAGATCTTATTTCTTTTAAATAAACCAGGCCAGCAACTCCTGTCTAATGACAGCTTCCCCAGAACAGCGAAGGGTTAATACCGAGTTAGGTCAAGCACCTAACTCAAAGGCAAAAGCTTCTGGGGGAAATGAGTTGAGCTAAATAAACCCAAGAAGCTGACGTGGGCAGGATTTCTTCTGCCTGACCCACTAACAAATGCAAAGCAGAGATTTTAGTGTTTTTGCCTTTTTTAAGCTTCAGTGGGGCATAGCCCCTGGAAGCCAGAACTTGGCTTTGAGGCCAGGCCTGGTGGAGCCCTGAGGGCTGAGGACAGTTGGCTGAGGAGGAGAGAGGAGGAGCAGCCTGGGTCAGGGAGGAGGCCGCAGCTGCTCCTGGGGGTGGATCTGATTGCTGTGTTTGCGCTTTCTTCTTGCCCGCTCTAATTAAAGCTTTCCCAATATGATTCTGGCTTCCTGAGGAAAGCAGAACTTATTAAAACAGGCAAGAAACCAACACCAAACAGGGGAGATGCTTGGTTGCGAGATATGTGTATTTTAAATCATAAAGCCCTCGAGTCGTAAGGTCAGTGCTTGCTGGTCATTTTTATTCTGGCATTATGGCCCTGGCAGGAGGGGATCTTCTAAGAAAACAGCAAAATAAGAGGAAAAAAAAAAAACACCTAAGAGTGCCCACTAAAATGGATTGTGATTGGCCCAGCACTCTTGTTAAGGGGAACACCCCCCTTACTCCCCTCAGAGTCCCCCCTCCCCCCTCCACTTCAGGCTTACTCTGCACCCCACCTCATTTGCTGCCATTGTTCTTGAGACAGGGTCTCACGGAACCCAGGATGGCCTCGGACTTGCTCCATAGCCAAGGATGGCCTTGGACTCCTAACCCTGCCTCTGCCTCCTAAGTGCTCAGATGACAGGAGGGCACCGTGGTTCCAGACTTCATCTCACCTCTTAATTTCTCCCCACACACCGCGTGGATCCTGCAGGCCAGAGCAAATCAGCTGTGGTATTTCCCCTCAAAGGATGTGACTTTCCTTCCCCCACACGGCTTTGACAGCTTTCTCATTTGCGAGCTGAGGAGGATATCAAGAGACATTGACCTTCTGGTCTCGCCTAAGAGGGAACACTCGGTAGCTGTTCCGCTTCAGCCCCTGATTAGCCCGACGGTCCCTCCTCCATGCCCTCACCTACCATCTCTTCACAAACATCCTGCTCACCCCGCAGCACGGTCCACCCCCGCAGCCCCCGCCTGCTAGATGTGGTGACTCCATAAGGCTCTTCCAGCCTTTTCCCCACAACGCTGTCTGCTCGCCAGAGAGTGCACAGGCCTCTGGGAGTGCTTGCTTTCTTTTTGATGCTGATGAGACCCCAGACTAACCCAGAGGAGTCAGATTTTTGGTGATACTGACCTATAGGTGGAGGGAGGGAAAATGTCAGCCATGCCTTCAAGAGCCTTGTCTCTTGGAAACAGAAACTGCCTGAGAAATCAATCTTTCGGCTATTTAAGGCAATTTCTTTTCCATCATCTTTTGTCAAGACCACTGTATTAGGAATGGATCTGGAGAGTCCCTGAACTCAATAGCAGCAGCTCCCTCCACCAGTGAGAATTTACCAGTACACAGGAGGCTACTGAGGGCTTAGAAAGCAGCAATTTTGAATTTTTCCTTTTTTTAGATGTATGTGTATAACTGTTTTGCCTACATAGATGAATGTGTACTGCCAGGTGTGTACCTGTGCTGGCAGAGGTCAACGGAAATTGGGTCCCCTGGAACCGGGATTTCAGATGGTTGTGAACCACCACATGGGTGCTGGGAATTGAACCCAGGTCCTCAGCAAGGGCAACCTGTGCTCTTTACTACGGAGCCATCTCTCCAGCTTCGAAACTAACAATTAAAAAATAGTAATATTTATTTTTATTTCCTGGTTTTTGTTCGTTTGTTTTCAAAACAGGGTTTCCCTGTGTAGCCCTCTGTCCTAGAACTCACTATGTCGATCAGGCTGGCCTCGATCTGCCTGCCTTTGGTTTTTCGAGACTGGGTTTCTCTGTTTCCCTGGCTGTCCAGGAACTCTCTGTGTGGACCAAGCTGGCCTCAAACTCAGAGCTCCAACTCCCTCTGCCTTTTAAGTGCTGGGATCAAAGTTGTACGCCACCACTGCCTGGCTCTTCTCCTCGTCTCCATTTATGTCCATGACAGGCCAGGGGTCCTATGCTCTCCGGGACCATGTACTGGAATCTCTCTTCAGCACATTCCATCTCAAGGCCATATCCTACAGCAATGGTTTTCAAACTGTGCTCCTCGGGATCCCAGGAAGTGCCAGTGAATGTGTTACAGAAGCCGCTAAAGCGTAATGGTGGGGCTCTGCACCCAACGCAGCCTCTTCTCTGGTTTCTTTCGGGTGTTGAGATTTCTCCTTAGGAGTTGATTTATAGCCAGGTGGTGGCAGTGCAGACTTAAATCCCAGCACTGCGGAGGTAGGTGCATCTCTGTGAGTTCAAGGCCAGCCCAGTCTACAGAATGAGTTCCAGGGCCACACAGAAAAACCTTGTTTTGAAAGACCAAAGAACCAAAACCAGAACAAAACAAAAAAAATTGATTTATTATTTTTGGTTTTTTTTGAAGACATGGTCTCTCTGTTCAGCCCTGGCCGTTCGGGAACTCACTCTGTAGACCAGGCTGGCCTCAAACTCAGAGATCCAATTTCCTCTGCCTCCTGAGTGCTGGGATTAGAAGTGTGCACCACCACTTGGCTGAGTTGATTTGTTTTGTTTTATTTTGTTTTTTTTTTTTTTTGAGACAGAGTCAGTCCTGGAACTCACTTTGTGGACCACCTGCCTCTGCCTCCTGAGTGCTGGGATTAAAGGCGTGGACCACTACCACAGGCTCTATTTACTATTATTATTATTATTTAGTTTTTCAAAAACAGAGTTTTTCTGTGTAGCCCTGGCCATCCTGGAACTTGCTGTGTAGACCAGGCTGGCCTCGAACTCATGAGCTCCAACTCCCTCTGGCTCCTGACTGCTGAGATCAAAGGTGTGTGCAATCACCACCCAGTTAGTTTTTAAACATTCTAAATTTCAATTCCCAGTACCTACATGGCAGCTCACAACTGTTTGTAACTCCAGTCCCAAGGGATACGATACCCTCACACAGATATACATATAAGAAAAAACCACCAATGCACATAAAATAAATAAATTAAAAAATAAAAAAGCCAGGCAGTGGTGGCGTACAACTTTGATCCCAGCACTTAGGAGGCAGAGAGAGTTGGAGCTCTGAGTTTGAGGCCAGCTTGGTCCACACAGAGAGTTCCAGGACAGCCAGGGAAACAGAGAAACCCAGTCTCGAAAAACCAAAAGAAAGAAAAAAAAAAAAAAAGACTGTTTCATAGCTCAGGCTCGCTTCCAATTTACAGTGTAGCTTAGAATGGCTTTGACCATCTGATCCTCTTGCCTCTACCTCCCAAAGAGCTGGGATTACAGACACCCACCACTTCACTGGTTTTATGTGGTGCTGGGGTTTGAACCAGGGCTTTGTAAATGCACTCTACCACCTGAGCTACATCCCCAGCTAAAATCTCATTTAAAATGTACAGTCTGTTTGGGTCCATGCTCAGCGGTTCCCAGGCTCCAGGGACTCCTCGGCAAAATCAATCTCCCAAGGCACAACAGTCATTTGTTTCCCAAACTCTTTTCTCCCGTCTCGCTAATTCACAATTTCCCTGCACTTGACAAATGCAATTAACAAGCCTCCATCAGTTCCTGAGGACAGCCTCATCAATCAGAACACCAACTGCATCCTGCTGAGACAGGAAGGGAGCCACCGGTATAGGAAGAACCTGCCGGACTTCTAAATCGGAACATGACTAACCGGTGTCTTTTCTTATGTCCACCTCTATTTTTAAAGTTTCTCCTGCCAACCCTGTCTTCTCTTCAACAGGCCTCGCTGTCTGCCGCCACCATAATTTGTAGATCCCCTCAAAGTTGGGTGTGTGAAGTCGGCTGTGTGCTTAGCAGGGACTTTTCCCACCCATACATTTTAGTAGCGATTGGGTTGCTTTCTGCCCAGGCTAGAAGTCCACCGTTCCCTCCAGCTGCACATCCATCATCCACACACTGGGAGACCAGAGCAGGATCACCAAGGCTTCCACTTCACCCACCGTGTCCACTTTCTCAGGGCTCAAGCCTTCCCTCCCCAACTCATTCAAGATTCCAGATTTGGCTCAGCGTGGTGGCACACACCTTTGAAATGCTTGGGTGGCAGAGGCAAGCGAATCTCTGAGTTCAAGGCCAGCCTGGACCAGAGTTCTAGGGCAGCCAAAGCTGTTACACAAAGAAACCCTGTCTCTTGGGGTGGGGGTGGGGGAGGTTCCAGATTTACTCTGTTCATCATTTTACACTGCATATAGCCTCCTCCTCCTCCCAACAGAAGGTAGGAGCCTTTTCCTCTGCAGCCCTGGCTAGAACATCCCTGTGCATCTTTCCACCTCATCAACTTTTCATCTCTGCACACTGAAGCAGAAGTCTCTCCCTCCTCCCTGCCTCTCTCTTCTGCTTTGCTATTAGCTTCATGAGTGAGGACATTAATGTATTCACCAGATGATGTCTTCACACCACTGTTTCCTGTAATTACAGTGTCTTCTCTCCCACTGTCCTGGCTTATTTGACTGTAAAGTACTTGAAGGAGGGACCGTGTGGACAAAAGATGCAACAGAGGCTGAGGTCAAAAAGTAGTGTAATTTTAACATCCAAGAGTAAAACAGCTAATGCGTCAGGAGCTCAACAACGGCTAACACTCGCACCAACGTTTTAGAGCTTTACCAATGGTACTGAAGTAACTGTGGACTTCGCTATGGAATGGGGTGCTATTATTTATTATAATAACCAAGAAGAACCACCCAAACAGGTGCAAACAGCCAGTCATTTCCCTTCAGGAGACAGGTGCCGTATACTTGTCATGTAAGTCGGCTACATTGTCACTGGAGACGCGGATCCAGCCATTCTCCCGCACGTGGTAGAGGTTGACGGCACCTCCAGAGTAGGCGTCTCTGTAGGTGGCTTGGTAGATGGCTCTGCGAGCCAGGTCATAGGCATCCTCCACTTCCAGGTCATAGGAGTAGCCTCGATCCATGACTCCATAAGCATACACGGAGCCAGAACCCACAGAGAAGGCAGTTCCAGAGATCCGGTTCCCCTCACTGTCTACATAGTAGAGGCCTGGGGAGCGTGGAAAAAAGGAAAAAGACCATCAGTTCTTTGCTAGCTTATTTATCTTCAAGGCAGTTTCTCATTTTCCTCAACAGAGATTGTAGCTCTGCGTCAGAGTATATACATATATTTATATGCGCCTTGCATGTGCAAGGTGGCCCTGGGTTTGATTTCTACCCACCACCACACACAGACCACCACACACCACCACCACCCAAATGGAATCTCAGCACACTTGGGACGTGGAGGCAGGAGGACCAGGAGTTAAAGGCTAGCCTTAGTTATGTACTGAGTTTGAGGCCAGCCTGGGCTACATAAAACCCTGTTTCAAAACCAAACAAAACAGGGCCTAGAAAGATGCTCAGCAGCCAAGAATACTTGTTGCTCTTGTCCAGGACCCAGGTTCAGGTCTCAGTACCCACAGGGTAGCTCACAACTGTCTGTAACATACACACATGCAAACACTCACACACATAGAAACTCACACAGGAACAAAATAATTTCTTAAAAAACTGGAGAAAGACAAGATCAAACTTACTGCTGAGATCTCTAGATTCTACAACATGATACTACCCATCTCACCTCACATTACACAAACCACCCGTCCGTCTCTTGGCGAGTCCAAAAGACAAGTCTGCTGGACATTCCAAGCACAGGACTTCAGGCATGGTGGAAGATAACACTTAAAATCTAACCCCAGGCCTGCAAGAGATGGCTCCTTCCAGGCCTAACTGAAAGACTAACTGAAACAGAAATGGCAACCACAGCTGAGCTTTCCTATCAACAGTGACAAGTGACGAAACGAACTGCCAGTACTGAGAGATAGTTTGGGGATTTTATATTAACTATAAACCAATTCCACTAGCTTTATTTATTTCTGATTCTCTCACTGTGTGGCCCAGGCTGTCCGTTGCTAGATAGCTTAGGCTGGCTGTAAACGCTTGACCCTCCGGTTTCAGCCTCCCTACTGCTAAGACCACAGCTGTGTATCAGTTGGCTTCTCTGTGTTTTTTAAATGAGGGCCAGTGAGGTGACTCAGCACGAAACTGTTGCTTACCACTAGGCCTGGTGTCCTGAGTTTGATCCACCGAACAAGAGAACCAACACCCGTAAGTTATCCTCTGAACTCTACATGTATGTGTTGGGATGTGTGCTTCCTTGAATCACAAACACATAGGAAATAAATGGAAAAAAAAAAAATGGGGCTGGAAAGATGGCTCCATGAGTAAGAGCACTGGTTGCTCTTGCAGAGGACCTGGGTTTGGTTCCCAGCAACCATATGGTGGCTCACAACTGTCTGTAACTATAGTTCAGGGGATCTAATACAGTCTTCTAGCCTCTTTGGGCACTAGGCATGCATTATGATGCACAGACATATATAAACAGACAAAACACCCATGCACATAAACTAAAACAATTTAAAAAGTTTAATATATATATATATTCATAAAAAATTTTATGTGTGCAGAGGCACACGCCTTTAATCCCAGCACTGGGGAGGCAGAGGCAGGCGGATCTCTGAGTTTGAGGCCAGCTTGGTCTACAGAGTAAGTTCTAGGACAGCCAGGGTTACACGGAGAAACCCTGTCTCAAAAAACCAAAAAAGATAAACAAGAAAGAAAAAGAAAATGCTAGAGTTTCTCTCAGTCAACTTAAATTCTCAAATATAGCTGTTTTCTAGTCCTTATTATTGTATGAGAAGAAAAATGTGCCAGACATCGTACTTATTGCTTTATATTTACTGCACTCTACCGTTGTGGCAGCTCATTCAACCAACTGACAGATGAGGAAACAGGCTGAGAAAAAAGGTAACCTAAGGTCAACTGACTAGAACAGTCAATGACACAGCAAGTCTAACTCCATGCCCTTTCCTGTACAGTGCAATGCCTTCCTTGGAGAGGGAAGGAAAAGCTAAGACCCTAATTAACACAGACATCCTCAGCACCCACCAAAAGGCCTTAGTTCACCTGTCCACTTACCCCCTCCCCACTGCAGTGCCCACCCGGAGGATCACATAACTACTACCACACAACTCACCAGGGCCTCTCTTATCCCAGCCACAGATCATGGTGCCCATGGACAGCCCCATGCCTTTGTACTGATACACCATGTTAGCAAGAAGTTTGGAGGCCGCTGCGACAGAGATGCGTTCCTTATTTCGAAGCTCGTAGATTCGACACTGCCGAGCCAACAACCGCTCCCAGAAGCTGCAATCGGCTGCACCCCCGGCCATGGTGCCCAGGAGGTAAGGGTTGATCTCTATCACTTTCTTCACTGTCTGAGAGGCAATATAGGCACCGGCTGTGGCCCGGGAATCGGCTGCAACAATGACTCCATGGCGAAACTAATTAAAGTCAGAGGAAAAAACAAAATAGGAGGTCACTTAAGGCCACAGATATTTCTAATACTTCTTTCTGTATGAATGTAGAACCAGACTATCTTTCTGTATCTTCCTGGATTGTGTAATCGAGTTCACATGTTAAATGTCATCTGGGCTTAACAGCAATCCCTGATTTGGGAATCACCAGATTACTCACTTTACATATGAAGAAGTAAGTTTAATGAGATAAAGACGCCCCTATGGGGTCTAGAGAGATAGCTCGGTGGTTAAGAGCACTGGCTGTTCTTCAGAGGGCGAGTTAGGTTCCCAGGACCCACCTACACCCTTGCCCACAAAGGTCGGTAATGCTTGTGTTCAGTGAATCCGACGCCCTCTCTTGGCCTCTGCGGGCACTACAGACGTGGTGAATATACATACAGGCAACACACACACACACACACACACACACACACACACACGAATAAATAAATCTTTAAACATCCACAACACACACACACACACACACGAATAAATAAATCTTTAAACATCCACAACTAGTTACTGTAGAGCTGGAAGAGGGGTCTTACAGGCAAAACACACACACACACACACAAGAATAAATAAATCTTTAAACATCCACAACACACACACACACACACACGAATAAATAAATCTTTAAATATCCACAACACTCACACACACACACACACACACACACAAGAATAAATAAATCTTTAAACATCCACAACTAGTTACTGCAGAGCTGGAAGAGGGGCCTTAATCGGCACCCACTACAGGAGCCCCTGGACCTCATCAAGCTCCCGGGAGGTCCGGGACGCCCCGTTTATAACACTTGGTGAACCGCTACGACAGCTTTCTTCCCTCCGCCACGGCCGTCTCGGTCTCCTTCCCACCGCCTGCCCAGCCCCGCTCCGCTTTCCGCCAGGGGTCGGAGGAGAGGACCGAGCCTCCGCCCGCCTGCGCTCCGGCTGGGATGCCGGGAAGGCGGGAGCCGCAAGGCGGCCGGCTGAGCACCTTGAAGGCCAGGGTGGTGGTTCCATGCAGCATTTCGATTTTCGGCTCCTCTGGGACGCCCCAGCTGGGCGCGGCCAGGCTCAGCCCATCACCAGGACTCCCCGGACCCAGGTCCAGCAGATCCGCACGACCTCCGAGACCAAAAAACCCATGCTGGTTCACGGGCAAAGGCCGCTCCAGCACGCTAGCCAGCGCCATAGCTAGTAAGGGCAACAGGAAGTAGCTCTGAGACCGCCTCCAAAGAGCGGTCGGGCAACTCCGCGCCGTCACAGCTTCACGTCCTATTAAGTCTATGGCGAGGGGGCAGCCATTTTTACTCCGGGCAACCACGCCTCCAAATACCTGTGGGGGACTGTTTTCACTGAGGAAGGGCAAAAAAGAACGCTGAAAGGACGCGACTGCCATTATTACTGTGGTCATCGGAGCAGCACCGATAAGAGTAACTTTAAATTCCTAGAGAGTGGTTGGAACGTTCTCGTTGAGTGAGGGAGGTGAGTTCGGCCATCTTTGAGAAGGGCGTGACTGCTTAAGAATCCAAGCTGGAGTCTCTGGCGTTTGGTCGCCGCCCAGGCCCAGGTTGAGGTTACAGGCTGCGTCTCTGTTTCTGAAATCCCTGTTAACAAGACTGAGGTTGCCATTGTTTTTAAGGTCACCCTTCCTCATACTGGTTAAAATAATTGTTTTCAGGCCGTTTTCCTATGGTATTAATTCAACCGAAGTAGTTTGTTGTAAAAAACAAACAAAAACAAACAAACGAACAACAAAAGACATCTCCTCGATCTGGGCAGTGGTGGCGCACACCTTTAGTCCCTAGCACTCGGGAGGCAGAGGCAGGCCGATCTCTGTGAGTTCAAGGCCAGCCTGGTCTACAGAGTGAGATCCAGGGCTACAAAACAACAATACTGCTTCTTTTTAAATAGCATTTATAACACAGCTCTTTTTGCTTTTTTCTTTTTTGAGATGTTCATACTCTGTTACCTAGACTGCCCAGAAACTGCCTTGTCTCAGAGCAATGGGATTGCAAGCCTGAGCCGCCACACCATGCTCGCTGTCCCTTAAAATGTTTTTTTTTTTTTTTTTTTTTTTTTTTTTTTTTTTTTTTTTTTTTTTTATACTCTCTGTCATTCATTACTTTTCAGGACCACAAGGAGCATCCCTCTCAACGCTGGTTTTTTTTTTTAAGAGACTCCCTATATAGCCATGGCTTGGTCTAGAACTTGCTGTGTAGATCAGGCTGACCTCAAACTCAAGGTGATCCTCCTGCCTCTGCCTCCAAAGCGCTAGGATTAAAGGCTGTTTTTTGTTTGTTTGTTTTTTGAGACAGGGTTTCCCTATGCAGCCTTGGCTGTGTGTCCTGGAACTCCCTTTATAGACCAGGCTGGCCTGGAAGTCAGAGATCCACCTGCCTCTGACTCCCAAGTGTTGGGATTAAACACCTGCCCATTTAAATCAGTAGTAATTGACATCTGAGAACCTGAAGGAGAGTTGAGGGTCCATAAAGGTGTAACAAGAGATTCATTAGGAATAGGCCGTATTTCATGGCCTCTTCTTCCTCCATCCACCTGTACCTCTCAACACTTTGGGGAATGATACCAAGTCAGGAAGTAGGCATATATGTATGAAATGCTGCTTCCTGTTTATGGGTCTATGAAGTCAGTGTCTAGCCTTGCTTATTGGATTTACTTATCAGTGTCTAAATTCAGTATTCTTTTGATGCCCAACTCAGGCCTTCCTCTCCTATAGCAGATTTTGCATGTGCAGTATTTTTCATGCTGAAATCTGGCAACCTTTTCCAAGTCCCACAACCAGAGGTGGAACATTTTTATCTGTCTCACACTTAGATAGTGTAGGAAATGCAAGGTAGGGCTTGTGAGACCACACAGAAGAGCACTTGAGCTGACTTCAGTTTGGATCCCCAGCACCAGGTTAAAAAGCTGGGTGCGGGCATGAGTGCCTGTAGCTCCAGTGTTGGGCAACGGAGACAAGCAGATTCCAGACGCTTCCTGGCCAGCCAGACTAGGGGAAAGCCAGAATTTTGGGTTGGTTGAGAGACCCTGTGCCAAAGGAATATGGGAGAGTGATAGAGCAGGACAGCAGATATCTTCGGCCAGCTGCCACATGTGAATCTGTTCCACATGTACTCCACCACATGCACGCACACACACAGACACACACACACAGAGGCATGTTGTTTTTCCTCCGGCAATGTGGCTGCACCTGAATCTACCCTGTTTCAGCCAGTAATTGCCGCTCTGCAGTTACAGATCAGCTTCTCAGGCAGTGACCTGGTGGGACTTTTATGTCCCACTGGATCTGCCTCCTGCTGCTGCCACCAAATGTAGTTTTTAACTAAATCTCCATCAGTCTATTTATCAATAAGACTCAGGAGTCAGAGGCTGGGGTGAACACCCGCTAGCTCCGAGGTTGAGGAGCAGCTAGCTGACCTCCCCTCTTTGCTGGTGTCTCAGGAAGAGAGCCTCCTTCTGCTCAGCCAAGCCCAAAAAGACCGCCACACTCAAAGTCCCTCCCTACCACTTCCTATGCTTCTCTCTATCTGTCTTTCAGACTCCCTCTGACTCTCTATGATTATTTTCTGTCAACTAGTTGATGGCTCTGCCTCCTGACCCAACATTGATTTTATTTAATTAGTGCAAATGCAAACTCAGCGTTCACAGTGTGGTTGAATATCCCGGGACACGTGCACACCCCTTCACACACCCCTGCCACACACAAAGAAAAAAAGAGACTGTAACGTTCCTGTTTATTGAGTATAAATTCCTTGCAATCACTCCTGCAATGCATCCAGTCCTCTGCCTGCTCTGAATAGTTTTCATTCTTGACTAATTGCACCTGTACCTCTGTTATGGCACATTTTTTATTCTTCTGTGTCATGGTCTCACTACATAGTGTAGATGGTGATCCTCTGTTCTCAGCTTTCCCAGTGTGGGAATAGGTGTGTGTCACTGGCTTGCAAATGTGAGCTTACATTTACTTATGTGTGTGCACACGGGAGAATGTGCTTATGTTTGAGTACCTGTGTGCCACGTCACTCATATGGTGTCAGAGAACAGCCTGCAAGAATCAGTCCCCTCCTTCTAACGTGGGTTCTGGTGACTGAACTCAGGCCATCGGGCTTGGTGGCAAAAGCACTTTTTCTCTCTGGCCGTCTGTCCAGCCCCAGTTGTGACATTAAATGGGAGCTGATTCTCTACTGTGTATCTCTGCCTACTTCATACTCAGTACACATTTGCTGTATGACAATGATGTTCTTCCAGTCACAGAGACTGAAGCCCGGACTGATCTTTGGCTATGTCCCTTAATTTCCTCCATGACTTGCCAGGTTCTCTCACTTCTTTTATATCCTTTTTCATTACGACTGATATCACCTTTGGTTTCTTTTTCCTTTTTTTAAAGTTTAAGCTGGGTGTTGTTTGTTTTTACTCTTTACTCTTTTGAGGGGCCTGCCACCCAGCTTCCATGACACATGCCTGTCACACCAGCGCTTAAGAAGCAGAGACCCAGGCAGTGGCGGTGCACGCCTTTAATCCCAGCACTTGGGCAGATCTCTGTGAGTTCAAGGCCAGCCTGGTCTACAGAGCGAGATCCAGGAAAGGCTCAAAGCTACACAGAGAAACCCCATCTTGAAAAACAAAACAAAACAAAACCAAACAAACAAACAAAAAAGAGCTAGTGGGTTAAACTTGATAGAAGAAAAAGTAGGAAGTACTCTTGAACACATTGGCACAGGAGATCACTTCCTAAATATAACACCAGTAGCTCAGAGACACTGAGAACAACAATTAATAAATGGGACCTCTCGAAACTGAGACCCTTTTGTAGGGTAAAAGACACAGTCAAAAAGACAACCTAGAGAATGGGAAAAGACCTTCACCAACCGCACATTTGACAAAGGACTGATCTCCAAACTATATAAAGAACTCAAGAAAATAGACATCAAAATACTGAACAATTCAATTAAAAAATGGGCTAAAGAGCTAAACAGAGAATTCTCAAAAGAAGAATTTCAAATGGCTGAAAGACATTTAAAGAAATGTTCAACATCCTTATTCATCAGAGAAATGCAAATCAAAACGACTCTGAGATACCACCTTACAGCTGTCAGAATGGCTATGATCAAAAACACTAATGACAGTCAATGTTGGAGAGGATGTGGAGCAAAGGGAACACTCCTCCACTGTTGGTGGGAATGTAAACTTGTACAACCACTGTGAAAATCAGTATGGAGGTTTCTCAGAAAATTGGGAATCGATCTACCTCAAGACCCAGCCATACCACTCTTAGGCATATACCCAAGGAATGCTCAGTCATACCACAAAGATACATGCTCAACTATGTTCATAGCAGCATTATTCGTAATAGCCAGAACCTGGAAACAACCTAGATGCCTGTCAACTGAAGAATGGATTAAGAAAATGTGGTACATATACACAATGGAATACTACTCAACAGATAAAAATAATGACTTCATGAAATTTGCAGGCAAATGGATGGAACTAGAAAATATCATCCTGAGTGAGGTAAGCCAAACCCAGAAGGACAAACATGGTATGTACTCACTCATAAGTGGATTCCAGATATAAAGCAAAGAACAATCAGACTGCAACCTACAGATCCAAGGAGGCTACATAGCAGGGGGGCCCCTAGGATGACTGTGGCTTATAATAAGTTTTGGTCCTCATAGAGGATGATTAGGACCACGGGCCTGAGTGCAGGTGTCTGAGATGGTCTGCACTTGGCTGTGCTGGGGGATGGTCTCTATGGCAAATGTGTTGCTCTGATTGGTCAATAAATAAAAGCCAAATGCTGCTGTATCTTCATCACGGTGGCTGGGCTTTGAGAGTTAGAGCAGAAACTGGCTGACTTTCTCTCTTTGCTGGGGTGTCCCCGGAAGCCTCCCTCCTTCCGCACCGGCCCAACTAAAAACACACACTGAGCTCCTCCCTGCTACTTCCTGTCAACTGGTTGCTAATCCTGCCTTTCTGAGCCAAGGTTAATTTTATTCGTTTAACACAAATGTAACACATCTTTACATAGTTAAACAAATGCAGCATAAACAAATGTAACACATCTTTGCCTAGTTAAACAAATATTCCGCAACAGTGGACTTATTTTTAAATTTTATTTTATTCTGATTTTTTTTAAAGACAGAGTCTCTCTATGTAGACCTGGCTGTCCCTGACCTCTCAGAGGTACGCCTGCCTCTGCCTTCCAAGTGTTGGGATTAAAGGCATGAGCCTCTGTGCCCAATGCTAGGTGCTATAGGGAATTCCAAATGTCAGCCTGGTTGAAAGAGGTTGTTTGTATTTTATCTTGTAGACATTTCTTAGAGGAGAAGATATAGTATTTGAATTATATCTTAGAAGAAATTGCCCATGTGGAGGATAGGAATGGAGTAGGAGGTCAGGATATGCATTTAGGGGACCATTCAGCTGTCCCCGACCTGACTTATTAATAGCATGATGTAGGAGGATTTCACTCCATCCTTATGAAGAGTTTGAAATTTTGTAGTACTTTTAAATTTTTATTTTTTATTTCATGCACCTTAATGCTTTACCTGCATGTATGTCTGTGTTACGGTGTCAGATCCCCTGAAACTGGAGCTCCAGGCAGTTGTGAGCTGCCATGTGGGTACTGGGACTTGAGCCTGGGTCCTCTGAAAGAGCAGCCAGTGCTTTTAACCGATCAGCCATCTATCCAGCCCCCTGTAGTATTTATTTTTAAAGCTATTTATTTATTTATTTATTTATTTATTTATTTATTTATTTATTTATTTATTTATTTATTTATTTGTCTGTCTATCTATCTATCTATCTATCTGAGGTAGGGTCTCTTCTGGCTGGTCTGAAACTCACAATCTTCCCATCTTAACCCGAATGCTGGAATAGGTAATAGGTATATATCACCACACATGGATGCCTTCAGAGTTTTTTAAAAAAATAATTTTTGTAATGCCAGGGCTTGAGCATGCTAGGCAAATACTGCACCACTGAACTATATAGATAGTAGGAAGGCCATTTTAAAAAAATGAACAAATTGTTTGTTTATTTAGTGTGTGAGGTCAGAGGACAGCCTTCAGCTCTCACCTTGGTCCTCTAGGCTAGCTGGTTCTGTTTCTGCTTCCCACCTTGCCGCAGGAATGCTGCTCACAGATGTGTGTCGCTGCATTTGCTTTGTTTATGTATTTTTATTTTTTTCTGAGACAGGGTTTCTCTGTGTTCCCTGTCTGTCCTGGAACTCACTCTGTAGACCAGGCTGGCCTTGACTCTCAGAGATCTGCCTGTGTCTGCCTCCTGTGTGCTGGGATTAAGGTGTGTGCCACCACGGCCCCGCTAGGAACACCATCTTTGTGTCCAGCTAGAAAGACCTCTTTGTCCCCAAAGCAGAAGAGAAACTTGCAAGTTCTGGTACTCTTACCCTCAGTAACCCACCTGCTTTTCTGGGAGGTATTTGAGTCTCTTTCTCCTTTTCCCTCTTATAGGAACTCTCATCTTGGGGTTGGAGAGATGGCTCAATGGTTAAGAACACTGGCAGCTCTTCCAGAGGACCTGGGTTCAGTTCCCAGCACCCACATGGCAGCTCACAACTGTCTGTAATTCCAGTTCCAGGAGATCTGACACCTTCATGCTGATGCACATAAAATAAAGTTACATAAATTACAAAAAAAATCATTAAGGACCTTTTCCATAGGTATATTTCTTTTTTTTTCTTTTTTCTTTTTTTTTGGTTTTTTCGAGACAGGGTTTCTCTGTGTACCTTTGCACCTTTCCTGGAACTCACTTGGTAGCCCAGGCTGGCCTCAAACTCAC